TGATTGTAAGCCGCCCTGAGTCCCCTCAGGGAGAAGGGCGGCCTATAAATTGTAATAAATGTCTAAAAAAAATGTCTAAATGCCTGTGGATCAGGGAAGAAATAATTTTTGCCACTGTTAACAGAGAAGCTCTCGAGTGGTTGCTTTTAGCTGGTTTGTATGAATATGATAATACGCGTAGTTCTTGACATACAATAGTTCATTTAGTAACCGTTCAAAGTTACAACGGCATTGAAAAAAGTGACTTATGACAGCTTTTCACCCTTACGACCATTGCAGCCTCCCCATGGTCATGTGATCAAAATTGAGAAGCTTGGCAACTGACTCATATTTATGACAGTTGTGGCATCCCAGGGTCACATGATCCCCATTTGCAACCTCCTGACAAGGCAAGGCAATGGGGGAGCCAGATACACTTAACAACCGTGTTACTAACTTAACAACTCCAGCAATTCACTTAACAACTGTGGCAAGAAAGGTTGTAAAATGGGGAAATAACTTCACTAACAAATGGTTCACTTAGCCACACAAATTTTGGGCGCCATTGTTATTGCAAATTGAGAGTTACCTATATTTTCTGATTACCCATTTGGGTGAGATGAGATTTATAGCAATGCTCATTTTGGGCAATTTTTGAAAAAAAATGTTATTGTTTTTAGCTTTCCTAGAACATAGAATAATAGAGTTGAAATAATATAACAGAATAATAGATTTATACCTAGAATATCTTATAACACCTAATATCAAAAACGTCATCAAAAAAGCACAACAAAGAATGTTCTTTCTGCGCCAACTCAGGAAGCTCAAACGGCCCAAAGAGCTGCTGATTCAGTTCTACAGAGGAATTATTGAGTCTGTCATCTGCACCTCCAGAACTGTCTGGTTTGGCTCTGCAACCCAACAAGACAGACAAAGACTTCAACAGATAATTAGAACTGCAGAAAAAACAATTACTACCAACCTGCCTTCCATTGAGGACCTGTTCACTGCACTGGTCAAAAAGAGGGCTGTGAAAATATCTACAGACCCCTCATATCCTGGACATAAATTGTTTCAACTTCTACCCTCAAAACCCTTGTTATACACACCAGAACAACTAGACACAAGGACAGTTTTTTCCCCATGCCATCACTCTGCTAAACAACTAATTCCCACAACACTGTCAAACTATTTACTAAGTCTGCATTACTATTACTATTACTATTACTCTTCTCATCCTTCCTAGTACCCATCTCTTCCCACATATGACTATAACCATGTTGCTTGTATCTTTACAATTTATACTGTTTTATTTGTTTCTTGATATGATTTGATTTCTTATTAGTAACCTATGACTATCACTAAGTGTCGTATCTTATAATTCTTGTTGAAAGTATTTTATTTTCTTTATGTACACTGAGAGAATTTGCACCAAAGACGAATTCTTTGTGTGTCCAATCACACTTGACCAATAAAGAATTTTATTCTATTC